ACACAGAAACTGATCAATAAGTCCTTGTTTTACAAAGGAATTATAATTTTATGCTTGAAGGAGCTCTTCTTCAGAACACATTACAAAGGGTTGAGGAGTGCATCTGGGTCCTAAATGACCACCACTGCTGGCTGAAGGATGCATCTGTGCATCACAGTGATCTAGTGAATGCCAGGAGGGGCCATGAAGATGAATAAGATTTGGACTCAGGGCAAATATTTACTTAGGAGTAGTAACTCAAGGAATTACTGTTGAATGAATAAGCCAACTAAGCAGCCAATCATGTACTACGCGGATACACACAAATGAAACCCTCACTTCAACCTGAAGACATTTGCACATGAGTTATGGAGAGGGACCTGTAGGAAGTGGTAGAGAAAATACAAGGCTTATACATTTCATTTCCATACCAATTTCAGGATCTTTGTCACTGACAGCAGCACTAAGACTTGTTAATTGTATACAGTTAAGAAGAACAAGGCTGAGCTTGGTGACTCACACCTGCAAGCCTAGAACGCTGGGAGGCCAAGGTAGGCAGACTGCTTGAGCCCAGGAGTTCTAGGCCAGCCTGGGCAACATAGCGAAACCCTATCTCTACAAAAAAAAAAAAAAAAAAAAAAAAATTCAAGAATTAACTGGGCCTGGTGGTGTGTACCTGTATTCCCAGCTAGCTACTCAGGAGGCTGAGGCAGGAGGATGATTTGAGCCCAGGAGGTTGACGCTGCAGTGAACTATGACTGCGCCACTGCACTCCAGCCTGGCCAACAGACTCAACAGAGTAAGAGCCTTTTCTCAAAACAAAACAAACCAAAAAAAACCCACACACAAAGAAACAACATGTAAAAATGAAGAACCAAACATTTTCTCTGGCAGAGAGTGCTGCAAGTAATCCAATCATGATGAATAAGCAAAAAGATGGAAAATGTGCTCTAAGATCACTGAATTGACTATGTGGGGTGGAAAGTGGCGTTCTGATGCTCCACAGAATCAAGAAATGGAGAGGTTAATACAACACTGAATGAAGTAGCTCAATGAGAATGTTGAGGAAGGAGGGAAAGAAGGCAGGGAGGGAGGAAGGAGACGCAGGCGGTTAGCTACTATGATGGTATAATTTGTTAGCCGATATTTAATTAGTATATAATAATGTCTAATTAATATATATTTGAGAAAATAAGATAATTTGATATTTTATCCTAAAACCAATCTCTTAATTGAGATTGCCTTGGGATGACATTCAGATCTAAAGATTTAACATTTTTCTAATATACTTCAACTTGGCTCTACATATTTAAGAAAAATAAAAGTTACCCATAAATATCTCTAATGACATATTCCAAGGATTTCAAAATACTTTTAATGAAGAACAATTATTAACCTGTTTTTTTTTTCCTGAGACACGTTCTCACTCAGTTGCCCAGGCTGGAGAACAGTGGTACAAACACGACTCACTGTAGCCTTGACTTCCCAGGCTTAATCAATCTTCTCACCTTAGTCCCCCGGGGAGCTGGCACTAGAGGTACGCTACCACACCAGCTAGTTTTTGTTCTATTTGTTGTAGAGACAAGGTTTTGCTGCATTGCCCAGGCTGGTCTCGAATTCCTGAGCTCAAGCAATCCAGCCACCGCGGCCTCCGAAAGTGCTGGGATTACAGGTGTGAGCCACCACACCCAACCTAACTTGGATTTTAAAAATCACAAAAGTAACAAAAATTTATAGCAGCCAAGAAAGTTAAGATTTGGAAGTGGCTGTGTGCTTTTGTAAGAGAGCAAATAGACGAAAGCCAAGACGGCAGACACTGTAACCTGGAGAGGGTTGGCAGGGAGCCCGGAAGATAGCTCTCCTCCCACACACACCAGGCGGGTTCTCCCACTGCCCAACTTCTCCCCTTCTCAAAAAGAAGGACCCCGCGGGCCCCAGTGAGACCTGTCAAGGGTCCTACAGTCAACTTCTCATTCTTGTTCTAGTGATGCCAGTGCCAGCAAATCACACTAAGGTCATTATTATGGAAACATTTGTGTTTACTGGCATGTCATGTTATATCACATAAAGAATGACTTTTGTATACGTTCCCTTATACATGACCATTTTCTTCAGACTCATTTTCAGCAGGATAGGAGAGTGTTTTTGTTTGTTTATTTGTTTTTGAGATGGAGTCTTGCTCTATTGCCCAGGCTGGACTGCAGTGGCGCAATCTGGGCTGACTGCAACCTCTACCTCTGGGGTCCAAGCAACCCTGCCTTAGCCTCCTGAGTAGCTGGGATTACAGGTGCATGTTACCATGTCCAGCTCATTTTTTTTTTTTGAGATGGAGCCTTGCTCTGTTGCCCAAGCTGGAGTGTGATGGTGCGGTCTTGGCTCACTGCAACCTCCGCCTCCCAGGTTCAATCGATTCTCCTGCCTCAGCCTCCTGAGTAGCTGGGATTCAGGCATCTGCCACTATGCCTGGCTAATTTTTGTACTTTTAGTAGAGACAGGGTTTCACCATGCTGGTCAGGCTGGTCTCGAACTCCTGACCTCGTGATCTGCCCACCTCGGCCTCCCAAAGTGCTGGGATTACAGGTGTGACCCACTGTGCCTGGCCAATTTTTTTAGTATTTTTAGTAGAGACAGTTTTACCATGTTGGTGAGGCTGGTCTTGAACTCCTGACCTTGTGATCCACCTGCCTCAGCCTCCCAAAGTGTGGGGATTACAGGCATGAGCCACGGCGCCTGGCTTAGGGGCCTGTTTTCTCGGGGGTGATTCATCTACACTCTCACACACATCTGGGAGAGGGCTGTTTGGCTGTCGGGGTCTGTGGCAATGGTACAGAGGAGTAGAAACTAGTCCAGAGACCTAACTTCCCTCAGAGTTGAGTGCCATGGTAAGCAAAGAGCTATGTAAGAATTTAGAAATTATTTTTCCATTCTCCAGAGAATCTTAGGATGCTGTCATGACAATGCCAATTTGCTAGTGGACTCTATAACACCCAGAAACCATCTGTCTCACCAGGCCCCACTATAAACTTTTCTTCCTTCTCTGAGCATTGGTAGAAGGCTAGCTAAAGTCTATCTGGACAAACAAAAGTTTTACTATGTAATTCACCTTCTGTTTTCATTTTCTACTTATGCCAACAAGAGAAAAGTAGAAGTTTTCGAAATTAAAGTTCAGATCAATTTTGAAATGGCAGCTTTATCCATTACAGTAAGAGACTGTCTTTGAATATTTTAAAGGCTCAAAGGACTAATCCAATATGTGAATATGCTTTTCAAGAAATAGGAAAAACATTATGTGATAAAAATCTCGGTGGGGAGGGAAGGAATAAGAAGTTGTTGATCAAAGGGGACAACTTTTGAGACAGAGAGGAGGAGTAAGTTTTTAGATCTACTGCACAGTAGGATGACTACTATCTCTAATAATAAATTGTATATTTCAAAATAACTAAGGGCATAAATTTCAAATGTCTTGCCATAAAAAAATAGGTAAGCACAGTGACAGATGTTAGTCTAATTTAATTATTCCATATTGTATACCTATATCAAATCATCACATTGTGCCTCATAAATGTATACAATTATGATTTGTCAATTTAAAATATTAATTAAAAAATGAAGACTAGGTGCGGTGACTCATGCTGTAATCCCAGCACTTTGGGAGGCTGAGGCAGGCAGATCACTTGAGGTCAGGAATTCAAGACCAGGCTGGCCAACATGGTGAAACTCCGTATCTACTGAAAATGCAAGTATCTGCCAGGCGTGGTAGTGTGTCACTGTAATTTTAGCTACTTGGGAGGCTGAGGCACGAGAATTATTTGAACCTGGGAGGTGGAGGTGGCAGTGAGCCGAGACTGCGTCACTGCACTCCAGCCTGGGTGACAGAGCAAGATTCTGTCTCAAAAAAAAAAAAAAGTGAATCTAAAAAAAATTTGGGTGAATATTCATTTAAAGATCAGAAATTTAAGGTAGTAATTTCCCTTTTGTTTTTTGAGGCAGGGTCTTGTTTTGTTGCCCAGGTTGGAGTACAATGGAGTGACTACAGTTCAAACCCCCAGACTCAAGGGATCCTCCTGTCTCATCCTTGCATGTAGTTGAGATAGCAGATACAAGCCACAATGCCTGGCTTCGTTTCCCATTTTTGATTAACTATTACCTTATTTTATTCTCTGAAGTTACCTATTGGAGGAAAAGGATAATAAATTTTGAATAATGTTCTTCAATCAATAAGGCATTTATAAATTGGTCTAATTCCACTGAAAGTTTTTAATTAATTAAAAATGGTTGAGAAACCAAACACTATTCATCAAATCTTATTTTAAGTAATTCCAGTGTCAATCCACATTACTTAGTAAATGAAAATAAAACTACATAAATCAAAATCTTCATACATTTTTATTCTTTCCTATGTATTTAGTACTGAGAAAATCACTTCTCTTAAGTAGTTCACGCATATCTCCAGAGATGGCAGAGGAAAAGGAACCCCAATATAAAACAGCATCACTAAATGAACTGGCTAGTGCAATAATATTAAGTAAATGCACTGCTTCCATCCCATCTCCATTAATAATACTGACCACCATAAAACAGTGGGTCTTGCTATTATATCAGAGTTCTTCTTTGTCATATCACTGGGTTCTTGGTCACACAAAAAACCAAATAATCGAAATAAGCCCTTTATTTTTCTAACCAAAAAACAATATTTAAGATGCACAAATACCCTGATTTTATGCCTCCTTTATGAATTCCTTCAATTCTAATCTTACCTTTTTAAAAATTAGGATAATCTTCTATTTTCTGAAAAGCTGCCAAGAGTATTGCGAGTTTCTGGTGTATCCTTTACCAAGTTTCCGCTTACATGACTCTTTTACATAATTGTGGCACGTTTGTCAAAACCAAGAAATTACCTTGGGACAATACTATTAATTAAAATATAGGCTTGATTTTGATTTAACCAGTTTTTCCAAATATATTCTTTTTCTGTTCTGGGATCCAATCCCCAGGACTCTGTGTTGAACTTTGACGCTTACCTTTTGATCTGTTTCTTCATCTTCGTCTTGGTAATCATCACAGAGGGGGCTGGCGTTGGCTGCAAAGGTGGGTCCCTGAGAGTAGTACTGAGAACTCCGGTAGCCATCATGCCGCAACTTATCACATTCTGCAGAGGGGCCACACACGGAGAAGACGTCCATTAAAAACCTTTACTCCTCTTTGCTTACTTTATATTTACTCCTCTTCACTTACTTTTTAAAGTTATACTTTTCTAGACATTAATAGGATATTAAAATAATGATAAAAACTAAGAAATATTAAAGTACCTACTACACACTACGTTCCATATTTAAATTAATGAAATATTAATATTAAATAATACTTGATAAGATAGCATTCAGAGCTCATGACCACCCTGTGAGGTAGACAGCATCAATAACTCTATTTTACTCACAGAATGTTGAAGTTTAGGGTAATTATACTATTCGCTCTATAATGTTATGCAAGCGAGCAGTGGACTTGGAATATTAACCCAGGGTCTTAGTTACTAGATTATGTGATGATATTATTCCATGTAAAATAAAAAACAAAAAAACAAGCAATTCTCATGCTATGCTTGTTTCCTAGTCTCACTAGCTGGAAGTGACACACCAGATCACAGATTACAATGCTCTCATTAAATAATTTCTCAATTTAATTTTGATGTCAAATAGCCTGTCAATGCTGTGTGGAATTTAATAGAAGGTGGTGCCAGCCTGAGACATCTGCTAGCCCCCAGACGAATGCCTGGCACCACCGAGTAGAAGGTACCCAGGGTCATGGTGCCTTGAATCTCGGGGTACTGAGGCCACTGACTGTGTGGAAAGGAGGATCCTCTTCGAGGGGGAAGCACTGCACGGCCGCTCTCGTGGGTAGGGAACGGAGCCGTAAGAAAACTTCCAATGGCTCCTTCAAGCACCACATGTACAAAGGAGCGTCTGCCTCAAAAAAGGATTTGCCGCAGGGTTCCTTTAAATATCCAGCTTTCTAAAGGGGCACAAAATGTGTGTGGTTTTGGAAAAGTTTTCTCTTGGCACAGCTTAGAAAACCATGCACCTACAGGCACAGAACGAACTAGGGCATCTTCAGGGTTCCTTTCTGACATCAGCATCCACGATTCTTCCTCAAAGAGGAGATGGCAGCCACTTCAGTAGAGGGCTAAAAATAGTAGACCAATTTTAAATAAGCCAGGGGATAAAAAAAAAAAAAAGTCCTCATTCTCCTTTGCTACCTCACAGTGGGGGTGGAAGGGCAACGTTTACAATTTGGAGCTGCAAATCAGACAAATATGAGGATCTATCAGAATGGCAAGCTAATGAAAAAATGCATATATAATCATAAAATAGCTAACTAATACTACTTCAGTTACTTAGAGGTAAAAATTTTGTTGTCTGGGCTGGCAACTACTTGTAATACTGATTAAAACTGATATTTAAAAAAATGTCTGAAAGTTCCAGGACGCATCATATTTTTAATGAGAATATACTCATATTACTCTAATCCTTTGTAAGAAATATTTTCACATCATCTTCATTTGACAATTTTCCTGAAATAAATAGTATAATTAGAATCTATATTCTCACTCTACAGAGATAATGTTACATAAAGCATGACTAGTAGTTTTCTTCTTCTTTTTATTTTTTTGAGACAGGGTCTTACTCTGTCATGCAGGCTGGAGTGCAGTAGCATGATGATCACAGCTCACTTCAGCCTTAACCTCCTGGGCTCAAGTGATCCTCCTACCTCAGCTTCCTGAGTAGCTGGAACTACAAGGACATGCCGTCGCACCTACCTTTTTTTTTTTTAAAGACATAGGGACTCATTATGTTGCCTAGGCTAGTCTTGAACTCCTGGACTCAAGCGATCCTTCCACCTTGGCCTTCCAAAATGCTGGGATTATAGGCCTGAGCCACTGCACCCAGCCTGACTAGTAGTTTCAAACAGTGTTTTCTGCAGAGTTCTGGGATTCTGTAAATACTGGATTAGATTTTCTTTAAATAGCTACCTTAAAGCTAAGATTAAAAAATAACACTTGGTTGGGCGTGGTAGCTCATGCCTGTAATCACAGCACTTTGGGAAGCTGAGGCGGGTGGATCATGAGGTCAAGAGATCAAGACCATCCTCGCCAACATGGTGAAATGCCATCTCTACTAAAAATACAAAAATTAGCTGGATGTGGTGACGCACACCTATAGTCCTAGCTACTCAGGAGTCTCAGGCAGGAGAATAGCTTGAATCCAGAATGCAGAGGTTGCAGTGAGCCGAGGTCGCACCACTGTACTTCAGCCTGGGTGACAAAGTGAGACTCTGTCTTTAAAAAAAAAAAAAAAGGAACAACACTCAAGAATGGCTATAATTAAAGAGCAAGGTCAGGCACTGTGGCTCACACCTGTAACCCCAACACTTTGGGAGGCTGAGGAGGGTGGATCACTTGGGGCTAAGAGTTTGAGACCAGCCTGGGCAACAGGACAAAGCCCTGTCTCCAATAAAAATACAAAAAAATTAGCCAGATATGGTGTCACACTCCTGTAATCCCAGTTACTTTGGAAGCTGAGGCAGGAGAATTGCTTGAACCTGGGAGGCAGAGGTTACAGTAAGCCAAGATTGCACCACTGCACTCCAGCCTCAGCTCTGTCTCAAAAAAAACAAAACAAAACAAAAGTAAAAAAAGCAACAGATGTTGGCACGGATGTAGACAAAAGGAAACATTTACACACTGTTGGTGGGAATGTATATTAGTACAACTTCTATGAAAAACGGTATGGAGATTTCTTAAAGAACTAAAAATAGAATGACTATTCGACCCAGCAATCCCACTACTGGGCATCTATCCAAATGAAATTATAGAAAAAAGATAGCTATAGCCATATGGTCATCGCAGCACTATTCACAATAGCAAAGTCATGAAATCAACCTAAGTATCCATCAATAGTTGATTGGATAAAGAAAATGTGGTAGGTACACACCATGGAATACTATGCAGCCTTAAAAAAGAATTAAGTCATACCATTTGCAGCAACCTGCATGGAGTTGGAGACCATTACCCTAAGTGAAATAACTCAGAAACAGAAAATCAAATAGTACATGCTCTCACCTTCTTAGTGGGAGCCAAACAATGAGTAGTACACATGGTCACACAGATGGAAATAGACACTGTGGACTCCAAAAGGAGGGAAAGTAGAAGGGGGTGGTGAGGGTCAAAAATTACTTATTGGGGGGGTCACGCCAGTGGCTCATGCCTGTGATCCAAGCACTATGGGAGGCCGAGGCGGGTGGATCACCTGAGGTAAGGAGTTAGAGACCAACCTGGCCAACATAGTGAAACCTCGTCTTTACTAAAATTACAAAAATTAGCCATGTGTGGTAGTGGGCACCTGTAATTCCAGCTACTCAGAAGGCTGGGGAAGGGAGCTGCTTGAACTCAGGAGGTTGCAGTAAGCCCAAGATTGTGCTACTGTACTCCAGCCTGGGGGACAAGACCGAAACTCAATCTCAAAAAAAAAAA